AAGTGTCCAAAATCCTTTATGCAATGTGATAATCCTCCTTAGGTTAGTTAAATAACTATAAACAGATTTTGTCCTAAAAATACATTTATTAATTATTAATAAAACCTAAAATAATTATACGTTTGGTTGTTTTTGTTCTCATTATGTACTACTTATGGTTTGGATTTGAATTATTACTTTTTTGATGGCGATACAGCAAAGCTCCGAGATTAGCTATTCTGGGAGGACAAATAAAGCCTGCTCCACCTTCTCGGTATTTTCTTCTTTCTCAGACATCAATCCAAGCGACGCGGGGCAAACGAGGAGTTTGATTAAAAACGCAATAACCTCCGCCCTGGCCCTTTCACCCCGCCTCCTCGTCTCTTTTAGCCCCCGGCCTCTACTCTAAGCTTTTCTCTTAATGAACTGTTGATCTTCATAAGGTCGACGCATATCCATCAGCTCGGCCTCCTCTTCCTTTTTCCCTAATCTGTCAAAATACTACACCCTTGGCGTTGAGTTTCTCTTTCTCTCCGTCCGCAAAACCTTGAACGCAATTCCGATCCCTTATTGCTTTATTAAAGTTAACACATAACTTAGTAGAACTAATTAAAACTTTTAATTGGTCGACACAGTGACTCGCGTTAAGAAATACAATAATAAAGTGATGGTACAGATCACTAAGTTAATTTAGTTTTAAAGAACCAGAGATTTCTTTGCTCGTTCGACTGAAGTATTCCCTGCATTTTAAAAGATAAAATAAAATGGGCCGTGAATTATTTATAAACGGCTATATGGGCCTCTTGTAGTCAGAATCCGGTCATTAATATCCATTGTTCCTCAAGTCTCCCAAGGCCCAATCTATTTTTCTCAGGGGAACCAGCTGTGCTTCGTAAACCCTCTTTTACCAGAAGGGCTTGGTTGAGTGAAAAGAAATAAGATAAGCGGATTATTTTGCCTATTGTTGTAAAATTGCTCCGTTTTATTCAACGTTTTCAAACAAGGTGTATTGTGTAAATATACGAAATAAGACCCTAAAGGTTTGAGTAACGTTGTGTGGGTTATCTTTGCTGTATCCGATGGAAAACTAGGTATTTATCAGAAATACCCAGGTTTTAAATAAGGCCGCATTTAGGACTCCCGTCCTAGCAAACTTCCACCGAAAAAATAATACTAATAATGAAAGCTTAGCCTACTAGAATTAAATACAATTGTTTGGAGATGGGGTTTTTTTTTTTTTTTGAGTTGACTTTTTTAAGATTTTGACGAAATCTTAAGTCATTGCAATTTTTTAGTTGATTAGCCAGTTACGTTTTATTTGTGAAAATTGAAAATTTCAACAAATATTACAACAAGGTTAACATGAAATAAACGTTAGATATGAATTAAAAATAAAATTAGACGGTGGAGTAGCTAATTTTTAAAATTCAACAAGCTTTGACTGCACGCAAGAGAAGGCTTATGAGACGGTACTTCGATGGGTCGTTCGTTCCATTGTACTCCCGGTTTGACTAAGAACACAATTTGTGACTCCTTCCAAATTTTTGGGAAATAACTTCTCGTTTTATTTGATTTCATTATTACAATTACCTCTTTAACCTCGTAACACGTAAACGGAGTATCTTCCATATCTCTTTGGTACATATCGTTTTCTTAGTTCTCATTTTGGTCCTCGCAAGTTGGGTCAAATTTGTCCATAATATAATAACGAATCTCTTCCATGATTTCCATATATTCCATCTTCTTTCTTTAATGTAGTGAATTGAACTTGTTTTAGTTTAACCGACGCTGCTTTATATACCTGTCCCCAGGGTGACACCCCTCCTCCAATTGTACAGAAAAACTGCCATGTTTTATTTTCAATTTTTTAATTAACGTCGTGTATTCTTCTTTTAATTTGTCATGTCAAGTCATGATCACATTGTTTCGGATAAAGGGTTATCTAGAGTCCTTTCTGATTATCATAAACATCTAAAACAATTGACATTGAACAGTTAATTTGTGTTCCAAAATAGCATAAATTTGAAACTTTCCCCTTGAAAGTAAAGTAATATTTGAAACATTAGAAATCATCAATAGATGGGTGTCCGTGTAGAAAAAAATCACAACAGATGGAATAAAAATATTATATATTAAGTATTTGGTGTAGTATTTTGATATACTCATTTTATACGAACTCTTCTGCCAGTTCCCCCCCCCCAAAGCTTTCGGTTTAACTCCCACAAACTTCCCACTGGTGGAAGAGCTCGTGAAAACAAATGGGCATTTAATTCTTCCGTTTCTAACTTAAAAATATTGAAAACATAATTATCCTCAATGAACATTACATACAACCATTATATTTCTTAGTCCGATTGACTAAATAACTTCTTTCAATTAATTAATCCAGCCAAAAATTCGAAAGGTTGGTTGAGATGGGGAGTTGGGGTCCGAGGGGATCGAAGTCATGATAGCTCAAGTGGTTACAGCAGCGGCCGAAGGTCGTGGGTTCGAATCCCGCTCGTGACACTAACTTTTTCTTTTCAACAATACCTTACATAGAAAGATTATTTACAACTATAACGTGGTTCGCATCTTCTATTATTATGGTTTTTAATTTTATAAAATTTTGAAATTATTGAACCTAATTGAAATATATCTAATGAGACATACAACGTAAGTACGACGGAAATATTTAAGATTTTTAGTTTTTTATTTTTGTAATCCCCTGCTAGCATACAATCCGTAAGCATTTCTGCATTAAAGAATAAAATTGATAGAGATGTTGATATCGAGTTGATCGCTTTGACTGTCAGTACAAAAGCAATTATTCCCTCAGATGAGTTTTACGGCTTATAGGACAATTGAGTCGTTGCAAGTGAGAACAGGTGCCCTGAATGTATCGAGGAAGAGCAAGCCGAACTTTTCACAACCTCCTTCTTACCCGCTCTAATATCCCTCTTATCCCTCCCTTATCCCTCACTTTCTCACTGTTAATGGCCCATTTCTTCTCTCTCGCTCTTTTCTACCTCCGCACTTCGACCTCCAGTTTCATTTTAACCGACCGTTTGATGCCGAGTTACAAAAGACCTGGTGACGCAGCTACTCCAGCTCGACAAGAAAGGTGAAAATAACTTTTGCCGATAATGCCGATAGAAGTACGTGGTGGCATTATTTATCCGTTGAAATATTTGACCTCTTAAGAAATTAGCACTTTTATTTCGCGGAGAATTTATAGAAAACTTTTGTTTTTGCAAATTGCATTTGCCGAACTGTTTTAACCTAAAGGAATATTATATTTAAAAAAATACAATGTACATATCACATTATTCACCGATGATAAGAATCAAGCACTTCATAAAAACTTAAAAAGCATTAATTTTGTTTAAAAAACAGGATTTTAACTAATGGCTAAGTTAAACATGAGATGGTGGATTGACCTGCTCCTACACTACGTGGAAAAAGGATCTTAGGTGAGGTCACGACGGAACGACAATTCTTGCCGTTTTTGCCAAGCATTCGACGATTAGAACGTCATCATCAAAGCCTGTTTACTATGGGAAAGCATAGGAGTTAGAAACATTGTACAATTTAGAAACAAAATTAAAAACAATTATATTACTTTACTCTAACTCGATGAGTGTCAAACATGTCTTTACGAGAACTGCATTTATAATAAATTATATAAATTTAGTAAAGCTCAGCATTTACATATTAAATAAAAAGATAAAATATAGAGCCATTATATTTAGTGGTCCGATGGACCAAATAACTTCGTTCAATTAATCAATCTTTGTGTAAGGTATTACACAAGTATGTACCACGTACCAATGTATACATTTATGATTTTTCTATATTTTTTTAACTTAAAATTACTCCCTTGCAAATACATTTTTGAGGATGAGAGGATTTGTTTTAACTTTCAAATTTTTCCTTCGGCGCAATGTTCGACCAAGTTTGTGCTATATTTCGTTAAACCGCTTCTCAATTAAATGAGGGAAAATGCCACTTCAACTTCACTTTTGTCGTAATAATAAAATGTTTTGTTTATTTCTTACTCTTTAAAAACCCTAAAGAAAGTTATGAAAGAACGTGAATAATATAAATGGATTCCACGCCAATTGTCAGTAGCTTTAATAATAATTAATATATATTTCTAATTTCGATGATCGTCATCGTTATAGTTTTATGTCATTTTTCCGAAATTTTCCTTTTACAAGAGATTGAACGTTGAATATCTCTATTTTACAAATAAAATTATAAATAGTGAAGTCTTTAGGCTGAACATTTCGTAAAAATGAGCCCATTCTTTTAATTATCAATCCAATTCCTAACCAAATTTGTATAACATGAGATACATAGTTTGTTGTTTAATTACTTATAATTTAATGAAACACAATTTTAAAATTGTAAAGTTGTTTTAAATCGTAGACATTGAGAAGTACTTGCTGTGCCATACTGTGACCATCGTTCAACAAGATATCTTTTAGAAGGCAACCAAAGCACAAAACGATCGCCTTACTAGTTACGGTAATAGCACATATACTTCCTCTATGTTTGTCTTTGTCAAACAAAAATAAAAAAGAACTATAAAACTTTAAAGCCCGCACCCGAGTTCCTGGAAATATGATGTGAACGGTATAAATTAATTAAATAAACATGTACCTGGATGGTATTTAAACCATGGAAACCATCCTAGTTCCTTAAAAGATTGTGATAAACTCCTTAAATGTTTTATGGAGTACGACCGTAGGTTCCTTCCATTAGAAGATAAAATTAAAAGTTAACGTTACTTTCAAATGTACGCATTAAAATGTTGAAGGTTGAAATATTATTGTTTTATAATGTAATTTAGCAATTATTATAAAATTATCGCTATCATAATTAATACATTAACAATGAATCATACCCATATTTCTAATACAAGTACTTGTAATTATTTGTTGTACTTTTGTATAATTAATAATCACAATAATTATCATAATACGTTTTAGTGGCCCTTCGCCTACTAATTAAAGTTGTTTTTCTTCTTTCTTTTCTAGTGCTCGGTGAGTTGAAAACGTTTTCTGGATTTCTTACAACTATGCCTCCTCTCCGCCTCAGTTCGTTCGTATGCCATAACTCGACATAGATAGTTTGTTTTTGTTTTTTCCAATAACGTTTAATTTTAAAAATGACATTAAGAGATTTTTGATAGTTTGCATTTTATTTTAGTTTAATCGGAGTAGATAATACTTTGGAAATGTATGGTACATTTAATTTATTAACAATTTTAATATTGGACTTACCTTAAAGACTTTTTTGATGTAAAGTATTTAATTTTAAGTGTTATTTTGTTTTTAACAATAGATCCTTTTTATGCTTCTCTCCAAAATCTTATGGCCCTATCATTTAATATTTCAAAATTTAGTGTGATTCTCAGATTTATTAGATACGATTGTAGATGAAGCTCTTGGATATACATGCCTTATTAACATTCTTGTCCGTCTATTTCGCTACTTATAAATTATGACCTTGTTAGACTTTCAACATATTTGGACAAACTTTCGTCGACTCGCAATTCTTCTTGCAAGGCTACAGACCTAAATATTAATTTTTTATTTTATCTTTATAGACTTAAAATTTGGCAAATTTGATCATCGAAAGCCAACAAAAAAGTACGGTAGAGGTTTTCGCCTAATTATCATAAGATACTATGGTTCCTCCGATCTGTTTCTTCATCGTAAAATCTACGTTTTCAGTCGAGATGTTGATCAAAATTTTAAATATTTTAGATTCATTTCATTTATCTTTTTTTTTTCTTTTCTTTTTGGAAGAGATTGCTTGTGTTGCTATTAATCAACCTCTAGTTGTGATAAAAACGTGGAAACCTTGTATGTCCATTTTACATTATTACCTGTATACGATTGCAATTTCCTAATATACCCATTCAAATTTAATTGCAACGTCATTGAAATTTTAATGAAATTAGTCATAAATTATTGTTGTTAGGCAATTAATTTAGTATGTTAATTATCAATTCCTGCCTGTTCGTGTGCGCAGCATGCAGTTTGTTTTCATTTTCACAAGTAAATGCTTCTCTGCGTCTCTTGGTTCAGCTTCAACGTTTGCAGCAGAATGGATAATTGCTGACCAAACGAAAAAAAAATCGATTTAGTGGGCAGCATCAAAACATGTTGATAATTGGACGAAATGAAGGAGCCATTTATATTCGTTAAATTCTAGTGAAAACCACAAAGGGGGCGAATATTCAATCTTACATCTGCACATCTTTTTCAACGTTCTGTGTATGGCGACACCTACAAATAACAAATGAATAGGCTTATTTTGATTGGGAACAAAGAAATTGCGAATTATTACTTTTGAACAGTACATGTTTCCCAAATCAAATTGTGCGTTAGAACCTGTACAATGTCTATAAACATGAATAATAATAATATTTATTATTCACTCCCTCCCTAATTGAGTAATTCTCAATTATTCACTCTTTACCTTCTTTCAATTATCAATTATTTAATAATCGGTACTGCACAGTTAACCTGAGTTACCACTATAAATTTGTTGAGCCAATCTAAAGCGGTTCTTCTCTGAGCTCCTGGGAATTTCTGATACATAGGTAATTGGCTTACAATCGTATTTATTTAAACTTTTAGGTACTTAATCGTTTATTTTTAGAATCATTGAAATGCATATAAAATAATATATCAGACTTTAATAAATAAATTTTAAAGAACCTATTCTGATTAAATTTTAAAAATTTGTTTTACAACAATTTCCTAACTTAATTATGAAATTTATATCCAATTCAACTTCTCTGATAGAATTTCCTTGCATTTTATTCTGGTGATCCTTTGTGATTCGCCTTTATTTAATTTAGAGTCTGTAAATCCGAACATATGCAGTATAAACGATAGAGTAAAGCTAACAAAGCCAACTGGACATTATAATCTGGAAAGCTCTGCGCAACCAACAATGGTAGTTTTGCGTTAACAATCCGTTATGCCCATCAACATCAAAACTAATTATAAACGACCTCCATGTATTTAAAATTAATTCCATGGAGGGAACGCTGCGATCTCCAGAAAGGGAGTCGTAATCCGGTCAAAATTAGTACGAATTACAATTGATCAGTACATAAATAATTTAAACGTTTCAGTTTAATTTAAAAATTAAGAAAGTCATAAACCTTGCACCAATACATGGGAGAAGGCTAAATTGCTGTAATCTTTATATTTTCAATTGTAAACGTATTTAAAAAATTTGAAAATGTAAAACAAGCGGTTTGACTGGCGTATCCTTATGACGGGCATTTACCCCGTTCTCCCCTATATATTTATATGTCCGTCTTCGTTTTTACTTTTTCTCCTCCATGTCCGTCTTCCTTTTCTACTTTTTTTCCTCCGTGTCCGTCTTTCTTTTCTACTTTTTCTCCTCCCTAGGTCATTTACGTTGGCATCTCCTCAGTTTAAATTTTTAAACTCAGTCATATATTCTTTTTTTAAGGAAATGGTGGGATTTCGTTGAATATATTAATAGAAATTAAATTAAATTCAAGAAAAATATTTGATGTACAGGCAAAACAAAATGGCGGAATTTCATTTGAATACATACAAAATAAATTAAATACAAAAAAATTACCAGATGTACATGCAAAATAAAATGGCGGATTTTCATTTGAATATATAAAAATAAATTAAATTAAAATCTAGAAAATACTTGATGTACAGAAACTTATCAGTACGTTATTTTTAGCAGATTTAGTAAATAACATAATAAAATAAATAATGAACAAAATATACCTTTGTTTTAAATTAATTAATACAGAATTCACTAATTTCGTGGTCCGCTTGACCAATTAATATATTGCAATTAATTAAGGTTTTTAGTTGAGATAAAAAAGTCAATGGCACGAGCGGGTATCGAACCCACGATTTTCGGCTTGATACGCCGCTGCTCTTCTATCAGTTGAGCTATCGTGACCTCGATCCACTCGGACACCAACTTTCCATCTCAACCGCTCCTTTTGAATTTTCCCTCCTTTTTGCCATTTTTCAAATGTCGTGTAATCGCGTTGGATTCTCGACGACTAATGACTAAACTAAAAACCTTAATTAATTGTAATATATTAATTGGTCAAGCGGACCACAAAATTAGTGAATTTAATGATTAAAAATGAAGTATACTTCACTCAAGCTCTCCGTGGCCAATTCATTTGTCGTCGAGAATCCAACCCGATTACACGACATTTGAAAAATGGCAAAAAGGAGGGAAAATTCAAAAGCTGCGGTTGAGATGGGAAGTTGGTGTCCGAGTGGATCGAGGTCACGATAGCTCAAGTGGTAGAGCAGCGGCCTATCAAGCCGAAGAAGATCGTTGGTTCGAATCCCGCTCGTGCCATTGACTTTTTTATCTCAACTAAAAACCTTAATTACTTTTAATACAGATTTATTACAATTTAAAATTTATCTTTTCACGAAAACCTTATCAATACGTTATTTCTAGTAGATTTAGTAAAACAGTAAATTAAAATGAATAGTAAATAAACTATACATTTATTAAACAACTTAACTTTCTAAATTACTTTATTTTACGTCTTGGGTTTTTTACTTTTAGTTTTTATATATCTAGTATAGACGCGTTTTTTTGTGCTCTACTTTCATTGACTTATGACTCGACCTAAAATTGGGGGCTAGTCGATTTTGTTGGTTTTTGACTTTCCTTTTGAGTCAGTGAGTGTATGCGCGTTATTATTTTTGTGCGGAATCTGGAGGGCGAAGCATTGCAGCGGATCTTGCCGCCTACTGCTACTCAACACGGTTAGAGTTCGCAATCAGGTAAGGTTTCAATTCGTTAATCTGGCAACCCGTATACCCTCAATATGGACCTAAGTGAACCAGAACTATCCTCTAGTGAAGAGGTACGTTCTAATACAACTTCTCAGTTTTATTCTTTAAAAAATAGAAGACCTCCACCATCTGGCAATTCTCTCAAAAATAAAAAGAAGAAGAAAGGCAGACCGACTAAAAATAATTTGATAGATGAAAATAGAGACCAAATAGAAGAAAATTCTAAACCAAATGAGATCCTCACAATTGGGCAGCCGTCAAAGAGTAGCGATATGCCACCATGTTTTATTACAGCAAACCCATTTGCTCCATTAGCGGAGTTGAACGAAGAAAATAAAACAGCTGAGATTAAGCAACCTCCCAAACCCGTTAATCCACCACCTATATTTCTTAAAAACATAGTGAACTACTCTGACTTTTGCAAGGCAGTGAACAACCTTGTTGGTAAAAATGGTTTTACCTGTAAAGCCAGAGTTCAGGATACAATAGTGTACGCCCACTCAGTCGATGCGTATCGAACAATTATTCGATATTTAAAAACACAAAAAGCTGAATATCATACCTATCAGCTTCAAGAAGATAAGGCTTTTAGGGTCGTTATGCGTCACCTTCATTATTCTACGCCCCCAGAATTAATTAAGGAAGAACTAGAGAACATTGGCTACAATGTTAGGAGTGTGACCAATGTAAAAAGCCCCACTACAAAAACTAGTCTTCCCCTGTTCATTATTGACCTGGAACAGAACCCCATAAATGAATAAATCTTTACATTCAGCAATCTCCTTTATACAAAAATTAAGGTAGAAGGAACCCTACAAAAAACGACAAGTATCTCAATGTAGAAGGTGTCAAGATTATGGTCGTACGAAATCTTTTTGCAACCACTTCCCGCGTTGCGTGAAGTGCGCTGGTTCTCACTTGACATCAAATTGTACTAGATCACGAGAGGAACCCGCAACATGTGTTCATTGTTAAAAGGACCACCCTGCAATCTATCGTGGCTGTTCTTCTTACAAGGAGCTACAACTCTTGAATAGAGGACCAACCTTTGCAAGAAGAGAGACAGGCAATGATACTCAAACAGTGGTTTCTCCGCATCGAGTCCAACGCCAGTTTTCAAGCTATGCTGAGGCGACAAAGCAATCGTTAAAACCTCCCCAGGCTAAGCTCATTCCACCTCAACCTCATAACACCTCCATTCC